TATAGCTTTGCACTCGTGTTACATGGAAAATGCTGAATCTGTTATTCAGATATGTATAATTTTTCATGTATATTATCTGATTTAGAGTTTCAAATGCTATGCATTTCCAGTGATCTTTAGTATTGTGGTTTAAATGAATTAATCCTTCCAAAGGCTATTTTCTTTTGATTGTTTACACTATTTTTTGGTTTTTTTTTTGTCGTTTGATTATGTCCTGTCTGTATGGTGGTACATGTATAATGAGTTTTGGATGAAATTGAAATTATTGTCCTTCAGCTTTTAAAGGGAATCAAAGTAGGTAACATAAACACACTTTTCTCCTTAAGTTAAAATGACTGAAAAAAGGTTGCAAGATGTCCAGATATTTGATCACTTTAAGTATGGGACTTGGATCTCTGGAAATCATCTGCAACTGATACTATATTTTCAGCTCATTGGAAATATGTAAGATTGAACATGCTTCATCTCAGCAAACATTGGAAAGCCTAAGTGACTCATGAGTAATAAACCAGAATTACATGGGTACAGATATATAAACAATTAACTCATCATTACCTATACACTCCTATAATCTGAATAGTAATTTTCTTTGATTACAAAACCTCCAATGTCAAAAGAGAAATTTCAGAAGGCATCCTGAAAAATTCCAACACACTCCTCCTTCTAGTGCATTTCTTCCTATAATCAGAGGATTTGGAAAAAGCCTGAGCGTGTAGAAAGGCTTACCTCTTCTCTGCTTTGTTTGAGCTTTTTTTCTTCATAAACATGTGAAAAAGCTGTGTTGTGTGTCACTTCTCCAGGCATGACAGTTGGTAGGTAGAGTAATCTGGGGTTCAGCAGGATACTTCCATTATAGCAGCAAATAAGTCAGTTGTTTACACAGTAGATTTACATGTGCTTGAAAAAAGTTTCAAATTGTTGGGTCTTAACTCCTAGAAGAAACCAAAAAGGAATTTTTCACAGTATGAATACACTTTTAGCAGAAATGCGATGAGAAGAAACAAAACCATTAACTAAGGGATATAGTTTGCTCTAATGTCAAATTCTCAGAGCTCAAAATGGTCAAATAGATGTATAGCTGACGCTGCAGTGATTTGTTATTTTGATCTTGGAGGCAAAAGTCATGTTTAATGATTTAAGACTTCTAACTTCAGCTTTATATCTTATCTCATCATGTCTTTGATCTATGTGTACCATTTATTTGACAAGCAGATGTTGTATAGCCCTGTACTGTATCTTTAGATGGTAATATGACACTTGATAATTGTACTTAGAGATCAGACTTATGTATTTCGACAGGGGGCAACTTGCTGTAAGCTTTACAGTAACACATTAATTGCTTATGTTGATCCTGAATCTTTCAATTTTAGTCTGCGCTAATCAGGCTTTAGAGGAAGGACCATTACCCTCCCATTATTTACCCTCAGTGGTATCAACAACCTCCAGTCCTTTTTTGGTAGTAACATCAGCAAAAATTTCTGGCTTGATCAACACCACAACCTCCAAGAACATTGCAAAAAGTTCCATTCAGACCCAAAGTACTACAAATGGAATCAATGTTGGTAAGTTGCCATCATCGACAGCTAACCTTGCATCCACTTGTATATCAGAGGGTGTTCTTTTGACAGCTGGTTATTTTTTTTCCTATTTTTTGAGAGTTTGATATCAAATTAACTAGAATTACACATGGAGATACCTGTATTTTAGTTATGGCATCAGACATTATCACACCATAAAGAAAAAAAAAACGGAGAAACTGTTCAACATCCAAATAATGAACTGAAACTTAATGATTTCTAATACCAGTAGTTGCTATTATCTACCTAGATCTAGAAATCTATATCTACTGTAGTACATGTGCTTCTCAAATGAGCTGAAAATATTGAGTGTTTTTTTTTTCTTCTCTTTGATAAGCTTCTGGCAAAAGCTCCCCGACATTATCAGACACTGCTACGATGGTGTCAAATGTCGGTGTCTCTACAAGTCAAGGTGCAATTCACCTAACCCCAACTACAAGTTCATTTTATATGCAGACCTCAGGGTCTCTCATTTCAAGTGTGATGACTCCTCTGCCAACAACTGCTTCCCCACCAGGTATGTTCAACCTCGAATCTGTTGTTGGCATTAATTGTAATCTGTACTATAATTACTGTGTAATATGAAGAAGACATATAACTATTTTGCAGATGGGCTGTTTCTTGTGTTTTGTTTGAACAATTTTTGTACACCACCTAAAATTTATTCTGAGAACTGTTGTTCATGAGATTTTTTATGTGGATAAGGATTTTATTTTTATGTTTCTTAGTTTAGATGGCTATGGTGCTTTTGTTCAGTGATAAACTTGTTGATGGAGGTAGAAGCAGCATCATTTTGCCTTAACAACAAATTTTATTGGCCTGGGAAATATTTGGTCAACAACTAAGGCCATGCGTTAATGATCTTAAAAAAAAAAAAAAATCGGGCCAGAGAATGCTATCCAATGGGTAAATCATCATCCAGCAGAAAAGATTAACATACAGTGGTATCCATCAGATAAAGATTTATCCTATGGATAGTGTAATCTACCCTTCAAACCACTTGAGCCAGATCTTGCCTCCTTACCTGTACTTCTTTCTCTGCACTCTGATGGGATACAATCTTGATCACATTATATTAATTTTCAAATTGCTTGACGTACATGTATGTTAAACTCTTCTCCTGCCAGGTACACCAGATCCTCCAATCATTCAGGACATCACTGTGTTATCAGCTACTAGTGTACTTGTCAAGTGGAACACAACATCAGACCAGTCTGTTGCTACCAATTATTCAGTTGAATTCAGTGTCAACATTTCAACTTGGAAGCAACCAGCTTGTAATCATTCTTTGGTGCAAGGTGCCTGTGTTGTTAATCAGAAACAAGCTGTCATTGTACTTCTCAAACCTTTTACAAACTACACTTTTAGAGTAGTCGCAAAGAGCCAGTTTGAGAGAAGCAATTATAGTGCAGAGAGAAAGTGGGTGATGACTGATGAAGCAGGTAAAGTTACATGAATGGCTGCTGTTTGATAATTATTTTAATGATTGGTTTCAATGATTAGGTAAAGTCTGTACTCAAGACAGGTTACTCATCCAGCTGGAGCCTATAACAGCTTCCATAGCATGAAGCAACGAGGATTATTACTAGTGGCACATCCCCATTACCAAGAAGTACCCACCCCCTCCCCCTCTCCCTCGGATGGGATGGCATTGCACTGTAAGCTTATCCCCCAGCATTTTTTGGGCTTAGCTGACAATATGGTGGTACCCATTTATACTCCTTGGTGGTGAAATGAGATGGGATCCTAGATGGAATGCCAATGCACTGTACACTTATCCCCAGCATTTTTTTGGGCTTAGCTGACAATATGGTGGTACCCATTTATACTCCTGGGTGGTGAGATGAGATGCGATCCCAGATGGAATGCCAATGCACTGTAAGCCTATCCCCCAGCATTTTTTTGGGCTTAGCTGACAATATGGTGGTACCCATTTATACTCCTGGGTGGTGAGATGAGATAGGATCCCAGATGGAATGCCAATGCACTGTAAGCTTATCCCCCAGCATTTTTTTGGGCTTAGCTGACAATATGGTGGTACCCATTTATACTCCTGGGTGGTGAGATGAGATGGGATCCCAGATGGAATGCCAATGCACTGTAAGCTTATCCCCAGCATTTTTTTTTGGGCTTAGCTGACAATATGGTGGTACCCATTTATACTCCTGGATGGTGAGAGGCACTGTGAAAATAAAGTTTTTTGTCAAAAAAAACTCAACACAGTGACGTGGCCAAGTCTTGAACCCAGACCCCTCAACCTCTGATCCAGGGGACTAACCACTAAGCTACTGTGTCTCTCATGGTTTTGACAATGAAAAAAGTTTGCTTGACCCTTTAGCTCCCAATATCTCATTAGTAATTCTTCTTACTGTCTGCCATACAGTTCTTGTGATGTTAGTTGGAGAATTTGGTATTGGATCAACTAATAATCTCCTAATTAATATTTTTCTTTATTCTTATCACTTGTCTGCTTGATATTATATTAATATTGTAAGGAGAAATTCTGTCTTGGTCACTCATGGGAGTTAATAGGCCATTTTACAGTTGTGTACTTAGTTGCCAAACCTCTGATTTGGAGTGAGGCTGAAGGTGACCTTGTTGTAATAGAGACCAGCATCTAGTTAGCATGATAACAAAGTAATTTGCATTTTAAAAGCAGCAGCTAGGTTTGTATCATAACAAGGCCACCCTTAGCCTCATTTTTTTCAAAGGCTTAGCAACCAGGCATGCAACTATGAAATGGACTATTGTTATCAAGGTTGGGCTTTAGGGCTCAACATGGTTTGCCACACAAACAGTTGTTGTCAAAGATTTTTTGTTGTATTTTTTATAGATGGAATAGTTATATAACTTGCAGTAAAATGCACTTTTCGTAAGTCCATTACTTTAAATATTTTTGTGTTTTTGTCAGCTCCATCAGCTGCTCCTGTTATAACAGCTGCACGTAATGTTGGCTCGCAAGAAATCTTTATAGCGTGGCAACCACCACCAGCAGGAACTGAAAATGGCATATTTAAAAAATATGAAATCTACATAAAGAAGGAAACTCCCAAGAGCCAACCACTGCACCAACCACTGGTGGGTTCCCTGTGACTGAGCTGCTTGAACCAACACCAGAACCAGAATTTGAAAAGCTTCAGAGTGGCTCGCTAGTGAATGTTGGACTTGTCCTTAATTATACAGTACGTAATCTGGACAAGTGGACCAATTATGAAATTAAAGTACGAGCTGTTACCATTGCCCCAGGCCCTTTCAGTGACAAGGTCATTGTGCGAACTGATGAGGATGGTAAGGATGCACTTTTTATGATTGCGTCTTTGCAAATACACAAATTGTAAGTGTGAAATTGTTGTACTAGTGATGTGTGGTCAAATTTTGTTCTATTCATTTGAAAATTATGGAGGATCTGTTTGTCATTGTTTAGTTCCAAGTCAACCTCGCCATGTTGTAGCAAGGGCTCTGAATTCCAGTGCAATATATCTGAATTGGAGTGAACCAGCAGATAAGAATGGTGTGCTTTTGTATTATCAGGTGTGGCTGGATTTAGTGCTATAAATCATTAACTACAGCTTACATGTAAATATAAATGTTCACTCTTGGAGGTGGGGCAAAGGGGTAACACCTTCCAACTTTTGAAGTCAAAGGGTTTGAACCATTTCAACAGCTGGGAAGCAATGGCAATTTTCAGCCTCTTCTCTTGTACAGTGTGTCATTATGGGTACCAAAAAATATAGGAAAATGCGCACCACTTGCACTTTGATAAAAGAGTAGAGATGGAGAAAGGAGAAAAAAGCCCAACATATTACATATAACATGCCCACCAATACTTGATGTTCCTGTCTACAGATAATGTTTTGGTTTTATTTTGACTTCATTTAGACATACAATAATATTTTCCAGGTGGTTCTGAGCTAGTATAGGTTAGATAAATAATAATTTTGGCCCAAGCTTTTTGATAACCCAAGATTCTATGGTGTAGGGTTAAAAGCTTTGGGGCCACATTGTTCTAAGCTGGGTTAAGATAACCCAGGGTTAGTGTGAAATCTGATTACAGATCTGAAATTTTTAAAAGAAATTCAGTTAAATTCTTTTTGTCTAGAATTTGATGATTTAATACTCTTAAAAGAATAGAGAAATTATCTGAAAAAGGCTTTTGAGCAAAGGAATAAAGAAATCGGGATTGAAATTTAACCTTAGGTTAGTGCTAATTGGCCTTCAAGCAACTGGCTCCTGATTTTTTGCTTTGTCCCACTCTTTTGATGAATGAATACCATCTTTCTTTATCCAGTGACAGAGCGACATTTACCTTCTTTCCTCATCTATGACTTTTGTTTTCTTTAAGGTGAAATGGGATTCCTCAGGAAAAACATTCATTCGGAAATTTGGCCTGAAAAAAAGTGTTATCCTGTCTCCTCTGAATCCCTTTACACTTTATGTCATCAATGTCAGTGCATTCACAAGTAAAGGAGAAGGAAAGCGCGTCACTGTCGAGGAACAAACAGATGAAGGGGGTGAGTATGGATTACAGAAACAGGAACCAAGGAGGAGTTTGTGCCATGAGGGTGTAAAATGTATAGAAAATCATATGCATGGAAGTGCATTTAGTTACATAGTATTTACAAGATCAAGTGATATTTTGAAAGTTTTCATAATTGCACAAGCCATAGGATTGTGCATTTTAGAACATTTACAAAACATCAATGACAGTAGACAATAAATTACAAACTGCAGGAACATTTTGTGGGATTTTTTATTCATCATCAACACCTCTTTGTACATCCTTGGTGCACATCAAAGTCACAGTGTACTTTGAACACTTTTCAATGGGTTGGAAAACAATTGTATCTTCTTTGTTGAATTACTAATTTAATAGAATGATTGTGACAGACCAATCAAATTCATTGTTTTTGCAAAGTGTTTAGAATTTAGCTTGGTACACTGATATTTAAAAGCTTTGATACTAAGTAGGTGCCATATGGAAATCCTTTATTACATTCTCTAACCTATTTATTTATTTATTTGTCATGGATTACTCGGGAACAAAATATTTTTATGATTTTTAAATAGAATTAATGATGATCTTCCTCATAATTTATTTCCTTTCATACTTCATATTTTCATACTTCCTCATATGTTAATTTTCCAGTGCCTTCAGCACCCCAGAATCTCTCTACCAAGACTTTGAACGCAACGGCAATTCGTGTTTCTTGGAAGGAGCCAAAGAAGCTAAATGGAAAAATAAAATATAGGCTTTCATGTGAGAGGACTGGAGAGCCTAGTTCGGTGGCAAAGTTGTTGTATGATGGGAATAATACACAGTTTATAGTCTCTGATCTGAAGCCATACACACGATACACTTTCCGTGTGACTGCATACAATGTGAAATACAATTTGTCAAGCTCACAGGTATTTACTGAGGAAACTACAGACCAGGCAGGTAAGTATTAAAATTGAGAAAATCTGTTGACATATTGTTTTGTTTCGATCGTTTGTCGCTGTTGTTGTTTTTTACTTTTTGGAATAGAGCAGTTTTTAGTTGAATTTCTGAATCGATGAATCAATCAATCCTTAATTGCCACACATTTTTGAGGTTACATTATCATTAACACTATACAGTTGTAAATGTAATCATTATTATTGTCATAAGGTATTATTGTTATCATCATCATCATCGTTATCATTTCTCTCATTGTTAAAACCATCATTGGTATTAGCATGGTGCACTAACAAACGTTATATTATGTAAGGTGGCGTTTACCTGTACAGTACCAATTACAGTTTTTTGAAAACGAGGTACTTTTGGACTGAAACACTTTGGCTTTACCTTACTTTAGTTCTCTCCACCAATCATAGGCCAAAATTAAAATGATAGAATTCAGTTACATGTACTCTCGTTATTCTGCACCCCAGTCTAGTCGAGTGTTTACGCTGAGTCCTCATTGGCTCTTGACATACCTTATGAATTGATAAACCAAGCAATAGTAGGAATCAGATCCCTCTTTAACTCTAGGATAATTATTAAATATCATAAAAATTTTTGTTTTCAGCTCCTTCGGGTCCCCCACGTGACCTGCAGGCTGTAACCAAGTCTTCATCGTCCATCATTCTTTCATGGCTTCCTCCAACAGAAGAGGAGCAAAACGGGAAAATTACTAGTTATAACATTCAAATAACAAGCATATCTCTCGGAGAATCAAGGAATGTAAGCACAATGGGTAACGCAACGAGATTTGCGTTCAGTAAATTACAACCTTATACAGTTTATTGGTTCAAAGTGCAGGCGGTCACAGAAGCAGGGGTTGGTCCTTTTAGTAATCTTTCTTCAAACACAACTCTGGAAGCAGGTAACGTTTTATTATTGACTATAATGTATTAAAATGTAATTTTTATGACCTAATGTGAAAGTTCGAGTAAATTTTCGAATCGTGTCTTTCTGTTACTCAAGGCTGGACACTCCACTCGACTCTTGAATGATTTAAGTATCGATTAACCAAGATTCAAGGAAGAACATCGATAATTGAGTATCAGTGATCGGGCATCGAGATAAAGAATATGGCATAAAGAAACTTGAAAAAGAGGAACCGATTGTCCTGTTTTGTCGAGCCCATGACATCATACATACGTTTGTAATGGTTCCACAAGGAGAATGTGTATAACAATCAAGAGTTTCTTTCGTTTGCGATTATTTCCTATAAATCATGACCTCAGTGGTTGACGTAGCGGTGACACTGTAAGAACAAATTGGATGCTGGTCACTTCTAGGTGGTTAGTTTAAAAAGGAAGTCGAATATTACTCACTCGAAACAAATGCGAGCAACATTGCCAAGTGCCATTGAATATTGTTACAGTGTAATGACGCATTTCAGCATATGAATAATAGCGGAAATAACCTTAGTGTGTTCAATCGTGAGTAATTGTGTCATGAAGGTGTTGATATTGGATGAATCTGAGTCATAAGTTTCTCTCATGTCTGTAAAAGAGGTTGAAATCAAGTTCAAATTAATTTGGGGGTGATTTGGAGTTGATTAGATACACATCTATTTATTGTACTGTCGAAAGATTCTTGACCTTCGTTTCATTGGATACCAGAGCCTTTAGCGAAACTAATTTTGAAAACCACAAATTTCAATTATGGAACGAGAGCGGAGAACACCAATACGGTAATAAAAGAACACACACCCACGCACGCTCGCACGCAAATACACGCACTTAAGGAGCATACATGTAAAGAATGATGGGAAATATTGACAATGATTTCAAACGAACAATTCGGAAATTCAAGGGGGAAAATTCTCAATCCGTGTCTTAGTCCTTGTTCAATTGACTTCTTGATCTGTTTGTATAGGCTTCCTACTTATTTTGATGCAATTAAATCAATTTTAGAACCATCACCTCCAAGAAATGTTACAGCAAAGAGCGTGAACTCAACAGCAATCAGAGTTTCTTGGGTCAAAGCTTTGAATCCAAATGGAAAAATAAATTACAAGCTTCGTGTTCGTCTCAGTGGAGAGAATGAAGAGGAAAACCGCCCGGAGTACGAAGGAAATGACACTACGTATTTAGTGACTGGCTTACAAGAGTATGTCAAGTACGCATTCACAGTTGTATCGTTCAATATTAAGAACAAGTGGGAAAGCAAACCAGTTGTGGCCGTGGAAAGTACTCGTCCTTCGGGTAAGCAATTATTTTCCTTGAGAACATCGGTTCGTTTTAAACATATAATGCGTAAATAGGGGATCATTGTCAGTATCAGTGTCAGAGCACCCACCCCTCTCCTATCCAACAACAGTCAGCTGCTAACAAGGTAGGGTTTAAGTTGAGTTAGGGGAGGGGTCGGTGCGTAGTTGTTCAGATACTGACATTGATCCTTAAAAGGTGTGTGGTGTTTATTTGCTCGTTATCACTTCTAGCCATCCTGGTGTAAAACTGGAACCTAAGTTTCCTTGCAAGTTTCCACAATCCACTTGCGCTTGTTAGTTTTCCACGGAAGTTTCGTAGTCTGGGACTAGAATGTTTGTAGGATAGTCAGTCAGCCAGGAAAGTAAACAGAAATACAGTTAGAAAGTCGGTGTGTCAACTTGGTTCCAGTGTAAGTCTCTTGGTGGGTTGTTCTGACAGCCAGTTCTTCGTTTGCCTCGTGGCTCAGTTATTATGTTTATATTCCTTATTTTTCTAGGCTTAGAAGAGGTTTTTTCTCTGTTAGTGAAAACTTCAGTGGGCAGTTCCATCCGACACCTTCGCGGCCATGCTGCAGCCACTCGTTTTTTTAAGCGTTTTTCATGCCTACCTGCTTACCTGTCTGCCTTCCTGTATGTCTGTCTCGTCCTCTGTTTCTTTCTGTCTGCTACTCGGAGACTGACGGTCTCCGATGAGCTGTTTATCAAATTCAGCACAACTGAAAATTAATTCAATATGTATACTTTTAATTCTGCGAAATGTACACTGAAATGTGATCTCATTCGTTTGAAACTTTGATTTAATCTCAGAACCTTCAGGCCCCCCGCAAAACGTCCAAGCCTGGACACTTTCATCGACGTCTATACAAGTCACGTGGGGCCCGCCCCTTCTCGAGGAACAGAATGGAGTCATTCTCCGATATGATGTGGACTATAAAACTCAATCAGGCCAACCAAACAAGCTCGCTACAGCTGATAATCAAACCACTATACAAGTAAAAAACCTCACCAGTTTCACGAGGTACTGGTTTGCAGTTAGTGCAGTGAATGTTATTGGTGTCGGGCCAGCGAGTGAAGAAGTTTCAAACACGACTTTGCAAGACAGTAAGTTGAAGAAACCGATACTATATGAACTCTCTCTGAGATTCTGTTTTTCAGAGTAGCTTTTGTTCTAAAGCTAAAGGTGTATCTCGCACCATAACTAACCAATGTTATGTTTATCTACGCAAGCTTACGTACGAACTAATCAAAGAACAAGGGAAGAAATGAAAGACATGAGCAAGTGATTGATTAGAGCAATTGAACGCACTTCGTCCTTATTGGGTGTAATAGGACCAAAACCGAAGGTCAGAACAAAGAAATATATGGCACGAGGCCATTGAGAAGTCAGACTTAAAAATGACAAACGGTTTAAAGCGCGGGAAAACGCGACCGACGAGTTGACTCAAGTTTTGTATCTGATTGGTGGAGACGGTGGCGTGAGTTTTCTTGACCAATCACAGGATAAAGTAAGGCAAAGTTAAGGCCATTCCGATTACTTTCGGCACTTTATCGAAAATTGCCCAGTGAAAACTAATTCACTGTAACAAGGCGTTCACCAAAGTCGAAACATTTCCATCTGACTTTAAGGCCAGAACACATACTGTACACCACTAAAATTTTTTTTAACGTGTATATCTTACCCTCCGTAGCGGCAAATTCGAAGTTGTAAGCAACTCTACGTTTTGATTTTTCGCAGGACCTTCGCCTCCTGTAAAAGTTAGCGCAAAAACAGTGAACTCCACTGCCATAAAAGTGACTTGGGAGAAACCACTGCACCCAAACGGCGAAATCTTCTACAGGTTGTACTACTGGCAGACTCGCGAGGGAGCTGGTACCAAGCTTGTGGCCTACGAAGGGCCTCTAATGGAATATGTCGTGGGCGGGCTCCATGAGTATGTGCCATACACCTTCATGGTACAGGCGTACAATAAGAGGTATTCCTGGAGTAGTGCGGGGACGAATGCCACAGAGACCACTCATCCTGCAGGTACCTAGGTTAAATCTGTAAAGGCTTTTTTTGATGATAAAGAGATTTGAATCAGCGTTCCTAAATCAGGGTACGAGGAGCAAAGTTTTAATCGAGGGTGCCGTTGATGGAAGTTCCTATGAGTTATTGGGGTAAAGTCTCCGAAGATATTAATTTTGCGGCTCCGTCTGCTACGCCGTTCAAACTTTTGCAGTCTGACTTTTAGCTGTTTAAGGAATATGAAATGAAAGGTGATTTTGTAGTGCAGATCTTTTTCTAGGTTTATTTGAAAGAGAAGTAGTGATCGAAATCATCACCAAAATCTACTTGTCGAATTTGAAGCGAACGTAGTCCTATCATGCAACGCGCTCTGAAAGTGAAAACGTTGCGTGACTAGTGTGGACTCCTCCTTTGGATCCGCTTCTGCTGACTGTGATGCAACTCATTCATTTAGACAAGCATGCTAGGTTACCACCAACTTTATTCCTAACAAGTAACGAAATGTATGTGTATTTTGTTTTTGTCCTGTTTCAAGCGCCCTCTGGCCCACCTCTTAATGTCGCGGTCTTCGCTGAATCATCAACATCATTACTTGTGAAGTGGAACCCGCCAACTGAACTGGAACAAAATGGAGTCATTACCTATTATATCATAGGATATACGTCTCTTGGCGAGGAGTCATCTATCAACACCACTGACAACGCCACACAGAAGCTTATTCCACATTTGAGAAAGTTCACCGAGTATTACGTTACTGTCCAAGCCGTGAATGACGTTGGTGCGGGTCCGCCAAGTGTAAATGATACAAAGAATACGACTCTTGAGGACTGTAAGTGTGTTGTTTTTCTTTAACGTGGCTATCAGAACACTAAAAATTTTATGTTAGAGGCAGTCTCGCGTTCCCGCGGGTTTTATGGATCCGTCCCGCGGATGCCGGTGGCGATGCGTGGAGTTTGCACGCCATTTTGGACCGGCTGGCCAATTATGCGTGGTTGCTGGCAACTGTTTCTTCAAAGTGCAACGAAATTGCTCGAGTGGGAAGAGATCGCAGGTTCAGATGCCTTGTGTCGTGCGATCTTCCCAGTTATGTTTTTATTTTATTAAATTGCTTTAGTGCAGCAAGCACGATACCAGGAGACTCTGGCCTCGAAATGCTCAATTACTTTCAATTACACTGGCCTCGAAATGTACAATTACTTACATAGATAAATCTCTGTCGTTGTGTGAAAGCCGAAATCGTCTTCTTTTTCGCTTTCTATGCCTTTTGTGGTCTACTGAGACTTAACAGGATAGGTAAAAAAAATCAAAAAGTATTCTATATGTCACCGGAGACAGAACTTTGTAACTGCATATAGCAACGCAGTTCCTAACAACTATCTTGTGTAGGAGTTGGAAGACTATCCTTGTTTACTCTGAATGGCCTCTTTGTCGTTACAGTGCCTGGCGAACCAGCTATAGATAATGTGACCAGTAACACCTACACCTTGGCGTTAACTTGGAAACCACCGATAGAAAAGAATGGTATACTCATAGCTTTTCGGTTGTGCTGGCGATACGTAGAAGAGCGAAATTATAGTTGCGAAAATTTAAGTGCTGCTGAAAGCCGGTACGAGATCAAAAACCTGAGTAAGTGAGATTCATTTTTTAGTCTCCGCATAGCCTTTAGGATAGTCTACCGTAACATAGGAGAGACAAAGCGGCTTGTGGATTAAGTAATAACAAGTGTATGTTCGTGGAACATGTCTTAAAGCCTGGCTATCTCCAACAACCAATATTGCAAAAATTTTGTGATTTCGAACTTAATATGCGTCACCCACAAATGACGTTTTTCTACCAACGTTTCTTCTTGTCGTCATTGGTCGTGTACATTTAGCTCCTTACCCTCCCCTCTCACCTCGTCTTTTATCTCACCCCCAATACACGTACAGAACAAAGCGAGGATTCTGTAACTAATTTTATTAATGAGTTTTTTTGGTGGGGTATCGATGTTCACTTTTGTGTTAAGATTATACATGGCTTGGAATTTATTGCTGTGTAGTTCAATTAATGTCGTCTTTGTTTTCACAGAGGCTTATTCTCTATATAATATATCCTTGGAGGCCCAAACATCTGTTGGATTCGGGCCGGCTGCCACCAATACCTACAGGACGAGCGAAGGAGGTACAAATGAAATTGACAGTTTCAATTAGTTTCATCTGGATGTTTAGGACAATGTAGACTTTGTACGGTTCTGCTCTTGCACGCTGTGAAACCCTGCCCCACCATTTTAGCCAACCCAGGGGCAAGTCGAAAGCAATAGCGACTTATACCTCATTCACACCAGCAAAACATGTTTAGTTAAACTGAATTTTGCAAAAGGTTCAAGTGACATCAACTTGTATTTCCATTGTGCTAAATTTGAAGTCGACAAACATCACTTTAAGTTGCTTCTGTGAAGACAAAATATCAAAAGCGTGTTTAACAAAACAGCTTTAAAACATGTTAAAGCTTTGGTGTGAATGGGCTGTTAGACTCATAAGTTTCCCTGTGCTGTCCACTGATCAGGTATACCTGCCTTATGTTCTACTTAGGTCGTTCGGCGACCACTTTTTTGGGCTATTGATTAATGCAAATATTTTGGTTTTGGATATGGACTGCTTGAATGAAATTATTCCTTATGATTGTATTAAATTTGAAAATAGATATTATGATTAAGGGGCATTTTATATCATTTACCGGCTGATCATTATTTTTTTTCCTCGCCAGTTCCTTCGAAACCTCTTAGTTTACGTGCTTGGAACACCAGCGAAAATACAATATACGTCACGTGGAAGAGGCCGGCGAGAGTGAATGGAATCTTGAAAAGCTACAAGGTAACTAAGAATAGCTTGAGGCAATAATTAATTATACTTCTCCCAAGTGGAGGCGAATAATGGTAGATATTAGGCAAGCTGTGAAGCGGGGAGGTATTTATATACCAGACAGATACCAAAAAAATTAGTTCATTTCTGTCAATATGACGATAAATGGTCGGAAATTAAACTCTTGACGCGCGATTTTGTCTCTTCGGCTGCTCAGAGGTAAACAATACTTGCTAATCACTTTCTAACAAGCCAACCAGCGCACGCGAAAAGCATTATCCAACGGTGTTGGGTTCATGCCCCCCCCCCCCCCCATCTGATTCTCAAAGGAATTGTTCTCGGTTGCCTGAGGTTAATAGCAAGGCTGAGTTCTGTAAAAAGCTGATTGGTCTGCCGTCTACTAATTGTTATTTCCAACCAGTTGATGCTTTTTGCAAATATTTGTTTCAACTTTTCTCTTTGGCTAAAAAATTTCCATCTGGAGAGAAGTCAATTAGGTTACATTTACTCCTTTGTATTTTTACGCAAGTGCGAACGAAATTTATTGTAGTAGTAGTATTCTGTTAGGAGTCTTAATCCACTACTTGTTATTTTGGAATCTAGGGAAAGGTAAGAAAATAAATCATAGAGTATATTCGTAAATAAAAAAAAAATTCAGATTCGCATTTTTCCACAGAAGATCACCTAAAGTTCTGCAGTTTTCACTCCTTTGCTTTTTGTTACTCTAGGTTTTCAATCGTGCGGCATCAGACAGTAGTCAACATTCAACAGAAAATATTGCTCTCGGTACAAACTTTACGCTGGTCAAGCTTCAGCCTTACACCTCATATAATGTCACAGTCCAGGCCTTCACGGCCGCTGGTGGAGGAGAGAAAACTGATGTCCAGGTTATGACTGACGAGGCAGGTGAGTCTCGGGAAGTTGGTGGAGGGGGAGAGGACTTCCAGGCCAATTGTGTGGGGATGGTATGATGGATTTTCTTCCATGACAACCCATAGAAAGATGGATAGATTTCTACGCTTTCAATCTGCTATACTTTCGTGCAGCTCAACACGGGTAGATAGAGTACTCCTTTATATTTGCATTCGGTGTATTGACCTCAGCTATATGAAACTCCAAGCCCTTCAAATATTAAAGAAAGGAATTTTTAAAACTCAGATTCCAATTAAATGTCTTTGGACGTGTTTAGGGTAAATGAATAAAGAGGGTAAGTGTCCAGAGAAACTGTGGCGCTACGTCGATGGGAGAATATAACAAGGCAATTTAGTATTATCAACTGAGTTGATAGCGTAGATTGGCCACCGTTAAGAGTTTTAAGGCTTACATTTCTCCTCGTCATTCGCTTTGACGAAAGGCTAACACACGAAACGTCAGCCTTAACACTCTTAACGGTGGCCAATTTACGTTATCAACTCAGTTGATAATAATAGATTACCCGGTCTTCAAGATAAACTTGTTTCTTTTTATCGTTCTCTTTGACGTAATAGCGCCATCTGAAGTCAGGGAACTATCATTTCCAAAGATTCAATTCAATTCCGTTGAAGTGTCTTGGAAGGCTCCTGAGAGGCCGAATGGGAACATTGGCTACTACTTGTCTTACTGGGAATTGTCAGGTGATTTCTCTCGCGCTACGACGTTGGTCTTACCAGGAAAACCCCCCTCAAAGCTGGTTCCTTATCTTAAGCCGTTCACGAATTACACGTTTTCTGTTCAACCGTACAACTTAAGAAAGAACCTGACAGGGCCGTCTACTAAGAGGGACGTGAGAACCAAAGCTACACGTAAGAATTGTCCTTGTCTACTATTTTTTTTCGTTTTGAATGATTGTTTGTCAGTGTATTTGTTTGTTAGACTGGAGCTATATCGAATTACGAGTCAGCTTTTTTTAATATCGCTAGAACGTTATTGGTATTGTCAAGTGACATTGTTCCAGTGGTAATTTTGATTTAAAATACCAGTATTCAAGCAACCTGTTTCCACTTCAACGCGATCAGGAATTTAAATTTTATTGTGTTTGTCGAAGGATATAAACCTTAACTTCTGATATTACTCGCTGAGCTTTGCTTTCTAATCAAATTATTTTAGGAAGATGTTTTAACAATTTGTATATTTACTACAACCAGTTAGGCAGCTTTAATCTGCTTCTCTCGGACGCGCAAGGTTATGTTACTAAACACATATATGGTGAGAGAGAATTGCTGAGAAGCGTCCACAACGTTTTCTGCGTTAAAGTAGAAGAGAATGGTGTTGAACTGTGGAACACGTTTTCGTGCAGCGAGCAGTGAAACAGCCAATTATTTCAGTTCTTGTCTGTCTTGAAATTAAAAGCAAAAGACCGAAAATGAAAGTAAACTACCTCCCCCCCCCCCCCCATGAAGATTTAATCGTTTCATGACCGGAACTCGACTTGCGCTGCGATAAAACTCATTTGACCGATCGACCGCCAAACCTGATGAGTGACAGAATTACTGAGAAATCTCTTTTTCCTAGGGCCTGAAGGCCCACCACGGAAAGTAAAGATTGAGAGCAAAACCTCCACTTCCTTCACGTTATCTTGGAATCCACCGCTACAACCGAACGGTTATATTGTGGGCTATAAAATCAGGTATTTCATGTGCAACAGCTCGCATTTAAAGACTATTGAAGACACAACGCCACATTCAACGCATACCATCCAAGACCTGCAGCCTTTTCGCTGCTATGGAATACAGGTGGCTTGCCAATCATCTGGCGGGCTTGGGGATTACTCTGTTGCAATCGAAAGTAGAACAGATCCGGCAGGTAAAAAGGACTCTTTGTAATAAAGCACCTTGCACGGACGGACGTACCGATGGACGTACGCACATGACATCACAATAAAATTCCCTTGCCTTGATGGCTCACCAAATTTCCTAGTTATGGGGCTCCGCTTTAATGCTGTATTTTGATTGGCTTTTGAGCCGACTTTTATAGCTTGAAATTTCCAAACAACGTGATGAAAACTACAACGTGTGTGGTTGTAAACTTTTTTGGCGAAGCCAAATTCTCTGTTATAAGTTTTACCAATGATGGACCATTGTAAAAGAAACATCGTCGCAATGCCTCAAAGAAGATTTTTATTATACCATTACATTACACTATTTAACGGTATTGGGGTAATGCTGTCTCAAATGACCTTTTTGTTCGAATAATCCTAAGCTTTCCTTTCCCCTTCTTTTTTCCTTGCACAAATTTCTGAGAACATTTAAAACTTTTTCTCTTATTGTGTGACAGCGGTCGTTTCATATAATTTTCTTTGAAAATTTTGCGCGGGAAACTGGCGCATGGTCGGCCAAAATTAATCTCTTTGCGCATGCCCTACGCTTTACCGCTGTGTTGTAGGCCTTTATAATTTGACCAGACTACATTGCATTTTTATTTTAGCTCCTCCTCCGCTGGGAACGCTTCCGCCTCCGGATGAAGAAGAGATTGATGGCACCTCTTTCACAGTGAAGTTAACAAAGGCATCAAATAAACTGGGTGTTGTTCAGTAAGTCTTTACTTTCATGTTCGTTTACTCCGCTGCCTCATTCTGTTTGTTTGTTTGTCACTCAAGATGGTTTTATTTCGGGATGATGGTGTTAAGATGGGGTTTTCACCTTCCCCCCCTCCCTCCTTCCTGAGCCTCCCCTCCTAGATCTCCCACAGGAGTTAACTAATCATTTAGTCTCACAAATGATGTTACTTGTCGTTTAAGTATCACTGACATTCTTCTCAGCTGAAGGGTGTTATTTGTCATAGCTTTTAACTCTTCCAAGTGAATTAGAAAAAAAATCAACCGGCTGGAATGGAGAATTACTCATCAAAACAAGCGTGGATCCTGGAATTTTTGAAAATGGTGTCTAAACCTTAATTCAGAAAACAAAAAATATGTATATATTTACACTACGAACTAAATAAACTACAGAACATTTCAAGGCAAACGAACATAAAGCACTCCATAATTTGTTTATACATGCACTGCTTTCGTTGCGAGAATTTTCGTTTCAGACATATGTTAAAAATCACAAACGGGTCTGATGGGAAGGGGGTTTTCACCTTCCCCCCCTCCCTCCTTCCTGAGCCTCCCCCCCCCTAGATCTCCCACTTTATATCTTGGGTGTTATGCAGTGGTTGTTCCCATAACGTAGCCGATACTTTACCGAAATGTGTTTACGACGTCCTCTCTCTTAATTTTAGATATTACCGTGTGATCGTGCGAGAGTTTGCAACAAACAACAGAGACCGGCCTGTGCCGGCGGATAACGAGCCTAAAGATTATAGAGAAGAAGAATTATATACTTACGAAGAAGCTAGAGAAATGAAACCTAAGCTGGTACCTTACGTTGCTGTAGAGTTTCCCGCAGATAAATTTGATTCCTTCAAGAACTTTAAAGTAGGAGATGGAAAGCGATACTCCAGGATACCGGACGATATTGTTAGCAAAAAAAAGAGGAAAAAAAGACGAAGAAGAGAAATCGACGACAGCATCGATCAATTTTACAATGGTCCTCTGGAAGAAAACACATTTTATGCTGTGTTTCAGCGCGCCTATGTTAATAAGGTTAGTTAAGCCATCATGAACTGCAGTCGGTGACAATCGACTGCTGTGTTTAGTCTCGAAATGTCAATTGAGCAACATCCAATCAGAGACTAACACGGAGTGATTTAGTATTATCAACTGAGTTAATAACATAAATTGGCCACCGTAAAAAGTTTTAAAGCTGACGTTTCGAGCGTTAGCCCTTCATCAGAGCCTTTCGTTGGAGCGTTAGCCCTTCGCTCTGACGAAGGGTGAACGCTCGAAATGTCAGCTTTCAAACTCTTTACGGTGGCCAATTTACGTTATCAACTCAGTTGAAAATACCAAATTACCTTGTTATACTCTCCCACCGACGCAGCACTACAGTTTCTTTAGAAACTAACCCCCGTCATTCAGAGACTGACACAGCTGTGAGGGCTTCTCAAAGGCAAAGTCGTCAATTGACTAAGTTTATTGGATCAAATTAAAGATTTGGAAGGGATCATGGTTTTGAACTGAAACAATAACAGGTCTCTGGTTTTAGTGTTTTGTTTTTTGTTGTTCCAACCGACACTTTTATCGTTTGCAGGACGTTTTTACTTCAAGTGAATGGATGGATCCAGTCGCAACAGGTATGTTTCATAGAGAGCAGTATTTTTCCGTAAAAGGCTCAGATCACCCAATTTTTTCTTTTAGACGACGAGCTGTTGTTTGGATGGTACTTTCCATCAATTTCAGTGCTTCGGAGTCACGCAAATTGCCATGAGTAGTGCGCAATATGTAACAACAATCAACGTGAACAGCGGTTACGTTTTGAGTTTATTAGCGGTTAAAGCGTCGCTAAAGCCTTTTAATAATTGCCAAAACAAGAATCGTTTGATTTGTCTTCATGCTATGATTTTGGTTAAACGAAACGCTTTGGTGTAGAAAGTGATTGAAAAAATAAGAAAAAAACAGAATAAAAAATTAATCAAACAAATAGACAAAAAAAAAATTAAAAAGCCAAATAACTGAAAAAAAAAGACTAACCAGAAAACAAGAAAAGGGAGAAATCAACTCATTTCCCTCACAATCGCCCCTTGATGTAATGGACTTTAACAAGGCTGGTATTTCGGGAGTGTGTCGGTGAACTGGAAAATTGCAAGTTGATTGTCGTTATTTTGCTGCCGATCTGACGGGCCCAAAGGGTCGTTATGTCCTTGGTAGCAAAGATGTCTGTGTGGCAAAAACCGTGGTATGCATTTTTACCAAGTTTTTCTGGCCTCTGATCTGTCTAGTTTTTGAGTGTCGTATATCTTTTTTCAGCGGCGGCGAGGAGTCCAAGTGAGGCACCGCCATCCTCATCAAACACTGGTCTCATTGTAGGAATTGTTTTCATTCTCCTTATTGTCCCAGTTGTGTTGGCAGCGGCCTACTTTATCTGGTGAGTCATTACATCACTTTTCCCCAGGCTCACTCCGCACCACGTCCAGTAACTTTCTGAGTGACGTGTTCCACTAAAAACGCCCCCCAAAAAATTCTGTCTACTCTGTCAAACTGATAAAATTGCTAACATCCACATTTACATCATCAGCGGCAGAAATCTTTGAATGCATTCTTAGACATGCGCTTGATACGAGCCTAGGTATCCGCGAAAAAACGCAGTGACATCGGCGTTATTGAAATATTCACCGTTCATGCAAGCAACAAGGCGGTTGTTTTCAAATCGATAACGATAACACAAAGCTGTTGTATATAGAATACTACAGGGGAGTTCCGGTAAATATCACTGTGACACAACCAAATTCCACCTTCCCTTCCCTCCCCCCCTCGGGCGTAACTAATGACCGGTCCTTTCCCCCCCCCCTCTTGCATAAGAATAACACAAATTACTGAAGAGGTGATTTAAATTTTTTCCCTTACTGCTACAATAATCAGTGGAATCATGAAGGATGTCAATATTGAGTATACACCTCTGTGTTGCCTATTGTAGTTGGTATGGCACTTCTGTAGTCGTTGAGTACGATCCACGGTCAATTGAGCCTGTGTCATGGATTTTCGCAATATCCAACCAGATCTAAAAGGCTGATTTGATAAACGAATTCAAATTAATCAATTGAAACTGAAATTAGGGTTTGTGGTTGATGTGTGAATACAATTCTTTCTTTCGAAACGGAAATGAGAGTACTGTCAAGGAAGGAAAATGAAACAGGTTAAGGACTCGCTCAAGAAAAAAAAGACGAAGCAATAGCGAATATTTTCGACTATAATCCTATGACAAGAGTTTAAAAGTATGATCAACCTTTTAAAACAATGGTAAGCTACCTCTATCAGTTTTTATTGAAGCTGAAATTTAACAAACCTATTTACTGGGAGTTTCCGTCTAGGTTCCAAGTGGAAGCTGCTCTTTCTCAATATTGAGCTGTAAGAAGTAACGCAATGCTATCTTTGATATATTTATTCATCATGTAGTTTATAGACATTCAAAAGAAATATAATCCTTGTCGTTTAGAGGAACACGTCTCTTTAAGCTTAGGAGGTATTCAAGTATTTGCACGCTGGATTTTATAAGCGAAAAACGAACGAAGAGCAAGCGAGGCATTAAGCAAACGAAAGAAATTCTACCAGAATGGACATTTACGTTGGAGTGCACTCAAATTGCTATACATAACCCACATTCATAAACTTTTGCTCTTTTTTTGCTTGACTTTGATGTGTTTGCAGGCAAAGAGTAATAATTGGTCACAAGTTGCATACTCCACGTGTGGGTAATTGCCTTCTGATCTGTTTAATCTTCGGTTTCTGATAATATGACACCTGATGCGTTTAAAAATTAATCGTATGTGTCTATAATCAAGTGAAGACATGTCTTGAATGGTTTTTTAAATTTTTTTTTATTAGGAAGAAACGTTTCAAATCGGGCGGATCTTTGGATGACAGAGATGATTTCACCAACGGACATCCGATGAGAATGAGAAAGAGCCGTAAACGACGTTCGCTTCAGAAACGCTTAATGGGAAGCACAGAATCCCTAAACAGATTGGACGAACTTGCAGCGAGCAGAGCAAGTAAGATTATTTGCAAGTCACTCTTCGTGATCGGCTATCGTCATGATTTTGCAAACGTTTTTTTTTTTCTTTCCTCTCATTTTCATTTTTCCATTTGAATTGTTGTCTCGCTTTGTTGTGCTTAAATATCGTGCGATTCCCTTTGCTCCGCGTTTTGTTAGTGCTTTTTTTCTAAGCAACGTGATATTTTAGGGAATACAAGTGTGAGTTTGGCAACCAGGCTGGCTCGGATCGCGGGACGAATTTGTCTTCTGTTCACATAGTTGATTTCCACCCAATTATGTAGCGGAGAGTGCAGCCCGATATACTGTTCTCACTAAGAAATTCAGCGTGCTTACCGAGATGAATCAGTGATGCCTGATCTTTCAGTTCTCGCTCCTTTAACCGCGTATGGGCAATTTTGCAGTCACCACTTAAATGTTTTTATTATATCCACGTACCTGCTGTGCGTCAGAAATTACGTGCGACTGATTTTAAACTTATCTTACTTTTGTTTATGAACACCGCCCCTTTTCTGAGCGCACGTACATTAAGTCCACGTGAGATTTTCCTTAACTTTTTCTACGCTATTTGCGTAATACAGCCTATCATAGTTCAAATGCCGAAGACCTTACGTAAACCAGCCTTTCTGTTATTTACCAGGGCGTCATCCTGTTCCAATTGATGACTTTGAAAGACACGTGGAGCGAATGCATATGGATGGTGATCATGGCTTCTCTGAGGAATATTTGGTACAAGTAGTTCGTTTCAGACTTTGTCTCTGTTTTGCGTTTTCTTCCGGCAAGCGATTACCATTTGCTGTTTTGACTCTTCTTAGGGACCAATCACTTTTTGTCGCCTTTGGGGGAGGGGGCAAATTTTTTTTTTTTTTGGCAGGGGGGGGATCATTTGATTTTCAGGAAGAAACAGAGCGGCGGGATCAGTCATCGCCAACAGATTATAAGTGCCGATGAAGGGGATCATAAGAATAGTACAGACCCAGCCTTCCTCCAGTCCCCCATTTCCCCACCTCCCCCCCCCCGTAATAAGTAGTGACCCTAACTGTTCTAACTCTTCTGTTCTACAGCTCGTTCAACCGGAAGAGGAGTTCTCCTTTCAGCACTTTTTGAATCCTACAAACAAGTTCAAAAACAGATACGCTAACATTGTGGCATGTAGGTTTTTTTTTTAGATATTAATTCCTTTCCTGTTATTCCTTTCTTCCTTAGTCATAATTTATTGTTCTTGTTTACAAAAGAGAGAAAAGGTGACAATTTGAGTTTTTTCTATGCAGACGATCACACTAGAGTGCTCCTGAACCCGATTGATGGTGTGGCGGGGTCTGACTATATTAACGCAAGTTTCATCGATGTAAGTTTCCATTATTTCTTTGTAAGCTATACATCATTAAGAGCGTTTTATAATAAAGTAGTGTGAGGAAAGTCATGTCAAATAATGGCAGGGCTGCAATTTGGAATAAATACTTCTAGATCATCAGGTTGACCCCCAAATAACGCCAAACCTTTTTCAAGGCTGGCTTCTCGAGTTAAAAAAAAAAACAAAACAAAACAAGAAACGCTGACTATTGTGGTGAAGTGCTGGAAATAGATATTCTCTCAACTGGGGAGGTAATTAGTTATTTCGTCTGTGGGTAAAATATATTATTTCTTATTTGTTTTTTGTTGCTTTTTTTTCATTTATTGTCAGGGCTACAACCGACAGCGAGCTTACATTGCGGCCCAAGGTATGTTAATATTAACATAAATATTAAAAAATGATAATAAAGAAGATCTGCACTGAAGATAGCCAGAAGAAAAACTGGAGCAGCAATAATAAGGAAAAGGACATTTGTTTGTTTATTTTTGTTGGTGTTATGATTATGTTTACGTTTTGTTGTTGCATTTTTCCTCTAACTGTTTTGATCAGGTTAGTTAACCGCAGGTTGCTTATCTTATCTTACAATATTAATACAATATTAATACAATATCAATACAATATCAACCAGATGAGTGATGAGAATAAAATAAATATAAATTTGGTGATAATTAGTTAATCCAATACTAAATTCTCTGAACTAACATTATAACAATTGTAAGGTTGACAGTGAGGAGAATTTCAAATTTGATCTGGGAGTTAAAGAGTTAACATACTGTACACTTTTTTAACATTTTTGCTCTAGGTCCGCTTATGGAAACGTTCGATGATTTCTGGCGCATGATGTGGGAACAAATGTGTTCAGTCATCATCATGCTGACAAAATTAGAGGAGAGGGGAAGGGTAAGTAAAGATAACAGCAGAAATGAGAATGATAACAACATAACACTCTGTGCCTCAATGATATCTGTCTATTTGCTGTATCACGCAATGCTGTGTTTTTATTATTTAGCGGAAGTGTGACCAGTACTGGCCTGAGCGTGGTACAAGAAAGTACGGTCAAGTTCAAGTGACTTTGAAAGAAACTCTCAACATGTCCCACTACACTGTGAGAAAAATGGTGATGTCTCATAAACTGGTAAGAGGACATTTTTCTGATAACTATCGGTTTTAACTCGTTAAGCAAATTTTCCAGGAAACACACGAGAAAAAGTACACTTGCCATTGAGAGAGGGGGTTCTTTCTTAACATAACACCAGATTCATATAATTTATTTACAATTAGCGATGTGAACTTTAAAGAGAATATTTGAATATTAGATATTTAGATTGTGGAATGAAGAGTTTAATAGGGGATAGATCATTGTAGTTTCATGGGGACATTATAGCTTCTTGTGATAAAATAATATCCTCATAATTTAAAATTTTTCCTTCTGTCCAGTTTCCCGAAGACGAACGTGAAGTGAAACAGTTCCATTTTACAGCTTGGCCTGACCACGGTGTACCGTCTCACCCCACCCCGCTACTCTCTTTGGTGCGTCACGCTTACGTCAGTAATCGCGAGTCTGTTGGACCCATGGTAGTGCATTGCAGGTAACGTGTTACCGAAAAGCACAAACATTTTCTTGGGAGGTGTTCACTTTGGATTAGCAATTTTGTTGTGTTTTGTGATGAGGGGTGGAGTGATTGCGTTTAAATGTGACTAAAATGTTTGCGGAGAAGGAATTTTTGAGATTTTTTGTGTTCGAGCAGCAGAACTTAAAATAGAAAAGAACACATATTATTCTCAATTTTTATCATATCTCACAGTTAGTGCGTGCGTTCTGATTGGTCAATTTAGCCGGCCGTATTTCACTGTACTGAAATCTCTCCCCTCAATTTGAAACCAAAGAAATATGAGAGATATATGGCTCACGCCGCCTAAATTGTCCAAGCTACTCATTTGTGATCTGTGGTCATCTTCTTGAACTGCAGTATTTTCTTCTTATTTACTTTATTCCTACCCCTTTGGTCTTCTGTAACCGAGCAAAATAATAGTTTGAGGTTTCCTCCAATTTAAAGGATTTAATCCTGTATATTTGTACTTTAAGACGAGACAGAGAGATAAAGGTTCTATTCTTAAGCTATGAGTACGTGGCCTTGATCAATTTCCCTTCTGTTTTACTCTTACAGTGCGGGTGTTGGTCGTACAGGAACATTTATTACCTTGGATGTCATGTTACAGAGAATAAGCCAGGAAGATAGCATTGACGTGTTTGGTTTTGTCCGTCAGATGAGGTTTCAGAGGAACTTCATGGTGCAAACTGAGGTAAGTGTGATCCACCTTAAGACTTTTTTTTTCTCTTATTTTTATTTGAGTCACCAGTAGAACTGGAAAATGAAGTTTTACTTGATTTTACTTCCCAAGCCTAAACACCTTCTTTTACATTACTTCGCACGAGTTTCATATCTGTATTCAAAACATCTTAGCCTGCAAAATGTACATAGTTTGGTCGAATTCTCTGTTGCTATTTCTCTCCTTTTAGGCGCAGTACGTGTTTATTCACGATGCCCTCCTAGAAGCCATTACCTGCGGAGTAACTGAAGTCGAGGCCAAAGACCTTGGTACTCGCATACGGGAACTTCGACAGGTCGATCAGGAAACCGGTTACACCTACCTGGAAAACGAGTTTTGCCGGCTGGCTAAAGAAGAAAACCACCCAATCGCATTCAAGAGCGCCAGTCTGAATTGCAATGCTTCAAAGAATCGCTACGCAAATATTCTTCCTTGTGAGTAACCTTCTTGTCAATATCTGCCAAAATTAGTTTTGTTCATAAACTTTTCCATAGAAACCAAGTGTCATCGGAACCGATAACTGAGTGTGGGCCGTGTGAACGTTTACAACAAACTGTTCTGAAGCGTTGGGTGGTTTCAAAAGGTGTTTAAGACTTGCCTGCCCTGATGCATATTTTTTCAAGCGCTTTTTTCAGTTCCACTTGTGTATGTTTTTAGAACTGACAATATGATTGTCGTCTTTTTCAGTCGAAAGCACTCGAGTACATTTGAAAATGAGGCCGGGAGAAATGGGCTCTGACTACATAAACGCGAATTACATTGATGTAAGTAATCTAATGATAAGTTAGTTTGATAATTTGTGGACAGATGTCAAACTTCACTTATTGTTATGGTTTGATTCGTTTTAAGACATTGGCGTATTGTTCGTTATTTTCTGGGACCTTTTTATCGAATGGATTAAATCGCGCTCGGCAAGTGTTGAGTTCAGGCGATAATTTTTCGGTGGAGCAACTTTTACTAGGAGTGATATCCTTAGGTATTAATTAGCTAAAGAGATGTGAAGACATATGGTATGATTGTATTTCAGCTTATTCACTGATGGTCTCGTCGCTTTACCCATAGCAGAGTTTTCAATAAAGGCCAGTTACCAGCAGTTTACTGCGCCTTAAGACCTTTGAACCCTTTCCGCCTTAATATCAGTATGCATATTCTCCATACTGTTTCCTATACAATCCTTAAGGTGCTGACGAGGAGAATTTGTTTCATAATCCAGAACTTCTCTAGTTGGTGATCATTTCCTTTATTCTCATGACCTTAAAGAGTGATTTGGGGTTGATATTGTAAGGAGAAATTAGATGCTGGTCACTCTAAAGGGTTAAAGGGTTAACTACCGTCTGTTTAGCCTGCGAGCAGGCTCTTGTGTTGGGGTTTCGCCTCTTACCGGGGGGCCCCTTTACCGGGCCAAGCCGCCTATTACACCACCGACAGCCACTTATGGAAACATTTATTTAAATCCCTGCCATAGGTTTTCAAGACTACCATTATCTAGTGTCGCTCGGTTTAGTTGTTCCAAAGGCTTTTAACGCCTTAAGTAAGTGACAAGTGAATCGCTTTGTGTCTCTTTATCCTAAAATAGCCGCTTGTTCCTTTTTTATGTTGCAAGTCTGTTTGTTTGTCGACGAACAATCAAAACCAGTAATTGTGTTCTCAAATAAAAGAAGCTCTGCAAAAAGCGAATTTCAAAGCACCCCATTCATTCAGGTTATTTGGGAAAAACTAGCGTCTGGAACGTTCCCTTCGTTTTTTCCTCGTTTCATGACAAAAGTTCGTTTAATTGCTGCATCATTAGGGTTACTGCCAACCAAGAGCGTACGTGGCAACTCAAGCCCCAGTCCCAGATACGTTTGAAGATTTCTGGCGCCTGATATGGGAACAGGAATCTGCAGCTATTGTGATGTTAACTAGAGAGGAAGAGGCAGGAAAGGTAAGAGCTGAAAGTATGAGTGGTAACTTCCAAGGAAGAAAGGTTAAGTCAACAATGGGGAAACTTTTATTAGTCGAAGCCCGTACATAGCGCCGTGCAATAGCGTATGTGAGCCATATTTATTACTCCCTCGTTTTATTTAAAGTAAGCTCAACCGAAGCGAACAAACCGGCGCCATGAGAGTCCCATCAATGTGCGCTGAGCGCAAGTTTCAATTTTATTTAGTATGATCGCCATATAAATTCTCCACCCGCATGTAATTTGAAAACCGAATTGGAAACTGCGCTCAGAAAAGACTTAATTCGTCATAGAGGCATAGGGAATTAAGCAGTTTAAGAGGACTTGCACTGCAAATAAATCATCAGCCTGTCATTCTTGAGTCAGTCATTAAAGTGAGTTAGTCAGACAGTCAGAGAGGCCATTCCGTTTTTCACCCATTTAGCAGTCAGTCATGTATTCGGTCGGTTAGTCAGTTCGTGAGTCCGTTCATCAGTCACTTAGTCAATCAAGTCTGTCAATCAGTGAGGTCAGACGGGCAATCGTTCAGATCAGTCAAATCAGTCAGCTTTTCTGGTCACCCCGTCAGCCCGCCAACCAGCTAGTTCATATTCAGTCCGTCGGCACGTTCGCACGTCCAGAGGTCATCTGCTAGTCAGTCAGTCAGTCAGTCGGTGAGTTAATTAGTCAGTTAGCTCGCAAGATTTTGAATTCATGTGAAAAAGGAATTGAATTATGCATACTGTTGCTTTTTTCTGTCAGGTAAAATGTCACCATTATTGGCCTTCAGAGGGATCTCGGTTGTACGGCGTCATTCTTGTGGAGTTAATAGAGGAAAACTCGTTTGCTGATTACATTACAAGGAAATTTAAACTCACACATACGGAGGTATAGAAGTTCCAAAAGATTAGATTTTTTGTGTCTTAGTTGATTTATGTTAGGCGGGGGGCGGCGGTTTATTTGTCAGGTTGATTTGTTTCAGTATTTAGAACCATCTCGATCTCTATCTTACAGGAGAAGAACTCGCACACTGTGTGTCAGTTTCAGTACACAGACTGGCCGGACACTGGACTCCCGGACTCTGGAGTGGGAATAGTGGATCTGATCGGTCAAGTGCAGAAATGGCAGCAACAGAGTGGAAATACAGCCATCGTGATACACTGCAGGTAAGAATGAAGCAGAATAAGGGCTACAGAAAACTGTTTACTTATATGCCAACCAGCTTTGATGTTTATGCTGCAGAAAGCTGCGATATTTTAGTCTTGTCTTGAAGCGTGACACAAAGTCGACTAGATGGCTTCATGTCCAATTTTAAGTCTTCAATTTCCAAAAAATTGTTCTCGGAGTTTGAAATCTAAGAAATAAAAAGCAAAGTTGCGAAATGCAAGAATTGCCATCTTGATTCCCCCTACCCTGGATCCCAGGCTTAGTCAGCAGCATTTAAATCGCAAACCGCAGATAGGTCGCTAAGGTGTGAAAGTAACTACCCTTTTAGGAAAGCTTCCCCGTATAGGCTCTAATGGACAGTCCCATCCCTCTCCCCTTCCCGGAAGGGAACACTAAGTTGCAAACTCCTAAGATGAAACTTGCTTATCTCATTTATGTCATCAGTGGTGGTGTCGGCCGCACGGGCGTGTTCTGTGGGATCAGCATCATGATAGAGCGCCTCAAGGCTGAAGGAGTGATTGACGTGTTCCAAACGGTTCAAGCTATGAGGCTCCAGAGACCTGCCATGGTGCAGACTGCGGTAAGACGTAAAGATCTGTTGCAATAACCGCGAAAGAATTTAAGAGCTACTTTATGTAACAAAATACGCACAACTCGATCTCCCAAAAATGTCTGGTTGTGTTTTTGGTTATTTTTTGTCCTTTTGTTTTTTGCTCCATGTCAAATACAAGCCTTTAACAACGATTGCACGCCGTAAATTTACATCTTGACTTGTACATCTTTCAATTTTTTTTTACACTTTCTTGTTTCTATTGTTACCAAGCAAACCATTATTTTTCCCTGATTAAATCGCGCACGCCATGTATTGATCTGGTCCTGTCCTCTTCTTTTTGATTGTTTATTTGTATTTTCTCTTTTTCCCTCTTTTTTTCGGAGGAAGTTGACGCGATTAGATTTATCTACTTCCTTTTCCTTGTATATAGTCGCACCTGTGGAAGGCTGTGCAGAACGAAATGATTTTGTTTTACCAACTAAACTGATAATGTAAATTGGTCACCGTGTCTTGTAAAACCCCTACCTACGCAGCACCAACTTTTCCATCCATCTTTTCTTGTAGGAGCAGTATGAATTTTGCTACACAACGTTGCAAGAGTATTTAGATTCCTTTGATTTATACGCCAATTTCCAGTGAACTTCTACCACGCAATTTTTCTACAAGCGTAGAATGACAATAGATGGGTCATCTCAAGGGACACATTGATTCAAAACCAAGGGAATTGAAGGATAATTCATTTGTTGAGCTTGGCCAAGTTCATTACTCAATATTTTTGAACGCCAAACAAATTGGTGGTAGTAAGAGTACTAAATCTTTTCGTGAGAATAAATTGGGGTCACAGAACGTGAATAATAGAGAAAAAAAAATGAAGGTAATTTTTTCTACATGTTATCTATTTTTATACCAATTTTAGATCTCAGAGCATTTGTCTTACTTCCTCGATATTTTATATAGACTGTAGTCTTTATTTAGAAATATACGTTAAACGATGGAAGGAAATTCCATTTGAGACCAAACGAAACTCGAAAGAAGTTCTTCGATCAAAAATAGAAAGGATTGATGATAATAGGGGGGCTGTGATTGCAATAAAGTGAAATAAAGATTTTTACGATGGGAGGGCTGATGAAGGAAAGAGTTCACCCTTTAATTGTTAAGAACTGATGAGTAAGTCTCATTCCTTGCCACTATATTTTCCTTATGAATTAGTGATCCGAATATGGTAATTTTTTAAAATAATCCAGGCTATTAATTGATAAGTATGTCTTTTCTCGTCGTTTTCTTGAGGGAAAATGTATTTGAATTGTTGGGAGAGTTTACATGGGAATCAATTGTGAGATGAAGTGAATGCCCACTGGCGCCTTTTCTCTGATTGCATGGATAACGCGTGTGGGCGTAGTAAAATAGACAGAATGCATGAATGGTTTTTGAAATTTAAATTTAGCTTCCCGTGATCCTGCAGGACAGGTAATCTTACGGGTACTCGAAACGGGTGAAAATGAAACTTAAAATTTGCAGAATACCAGCCACGCGTGGCAGTATACGCCTCACGCGTGGCAGAGCAAGATTATCGCGAACGAGAACCACGCGATAGGCGAAACAAAATGTTGGTCATGATTTTCCATAAACTTGTTAAACAAAAGACATATGTCTTAAATGTTGCAATGATTATTACTACAGTAGCACTAAGGGTTTTTTTTAAGTTTTATGCGCTTCATTACACTTCACATGAAATTTCAGCTGTGCTGTAATTTTTGATAGAAATCTAGTTTCATTGATATTTTTAAACTGTTTTCATAATCTTTGTTTGTCTGCGCTGCATTTGCTACTCTGTTCTGTTTCACATCTTTTTGTTGTGAACGATTGTGCTCAATTTTAGTTTTCAGTTTTTTGTTGATTCCTTCCCCAAAGTACTCAAAGATTGGTGATTATAGGTGATTATAACACTTTTGATGAATACCGAAATGAGAGAATTGTCATTTTTTAGAGCATGTTAACGATGTGAAAGAGTAAATCTCTTCTACCGGTCTCACGAGTCACAAGGAATTTTTTTATTACAATAATTTACATGATATGAATAGTTTAATATTAAAAACTATTTTGCGATTTTAGAGAGTTCTTGGCGACAAAATAAATATTAAGTGAGTTCTTGTTTGTGGCATCTGTCTATTTTTTTGTGTGTGTTAGATCCTGAGCGTCACAGCATTACTGAACTCAATTTCTGTTCCTGGGAGGCTCACAGATCATGGAAAGCGATATTAACGTGGTCACCCAAATTGTCAGACATTTACGACAGATAACGGTGGATTAAATATCACACCTCTTCCGCTCGTTTTATCAGCGACGGATATAACACCGACCTTAAAACGAATCCAATTCGATGTTCTAATTCAGAAAATGTCTCTCAGAAGAAAAACCTCAGTCAAGTCTCGCCATGAAGTTGATAGTCAATTTGTGCGATGTTTTGTAATTGCTCTAATTTTCGTTTCTTAGTTGTTCTTTTTAAGTTTTTTTTGTTGCGTTTTTATGCGTTTTTTGGTCCGCTCCCTTTTTCGAATATTTTCTTGTATGTATTTGTGTTTTTCGTTGATCGAGATTCTCTGTAGAATGAATTGATGTCGTTGAATATGATGACGTATTTACATTAGAAATTATATGTCATCACAAGAAATGTCTTCGGAAGACTTTGCTCAAACTAATATCGAAACTGTGACAGTTTGCTGTATTACGTAAATGGACGCCTTGGCAAACTCTTAAATGATTGCCCGCCGATGTCAGTTTGTTTTACTTTCAAGAGTGGAGATATCAAGGAAGGTAATCAGAATTGTTACTATCTGCCGGCATATGTCAAATACTACAAATTGAATGCTTTTCGAATCACAAAAACGTGAAAATATCAGATAATTGCGTAGAATTATTAGCGACGTGTTTTACGCGTTTTAAGTGTCATTCAATCCTACTTCTTGCAAAATAATTTTTAAGTGGCTTACAATATTTCACTGATTTCACCCATTTCTAATTACTGTTGTCAGATTTTTAATCGTTTTTCGTCAATGGGCAAGGCAGATATCTTGATGTTCCATCCTTTATTTACTTAGGAAAAGTTTTGCGGTCAAAAGAGCGCATGCAAATTTCAACACCTGTACGCCGTTACCGACTTCATAAAAAGGAATTTATTTTTTCTTCTAAGGAGGATTTTTGATGGATAGTTCTACGTATTTTCCGCCTCTGGCTCATGGATCTCCTATGTTCACAGTCCTCGGGGTCGCGGTTGTATTCCTTATAATCATTTTCGGACTCGTTGGTAACTTCGGCATTTGTGCTATGGTTTATACCCATCGTCATTTACAAACAATACCGAACTACCTGATTGTAAACCTTAGTGTGTCAGATCTTCTCCGGATTTTTTTCACTCTCTCTGTCTCTGCGGGTGTTCTTATTAAAAGGCGATGGGTTTTTGGCGACGCGTTTTGTCATGTAAACGGTTCCTACACCCTCGTATTCCTGGTTGCTTCTCTTATGTCGGTGACGCTCATAAGTGTGAACAGATACTTTTTAATCGTGCGAGCAAACGAAAGCTCTACGTTTTTCAGTCTGCGACGGACCAAAGTTATGCTTTCCACTCTTTGGTTTCTGGCCGTCTTCATTGCCATTCCGCCAATTTTAGGGTGGGGCCACTACGGTTTCTTCGCCTCACGCGCGACTTGTTTTATAGCAGTGGGAAGCAGTTACTCATACACAAGTTTTCTAGTGATAACATTCATCACAACACCGTTCTCTGTGCTCATCTGGTGTTACGTGACGATCTACAAAGCCATGAAGAGGAGCAAAAACCGTGTTAAATGCATCCGAACACTACCAGTCAACATTAGTTCGGAAAACGCCGAAAGATTGAAGAAAGAGGTAGGTTGGAATTCGTCTTAATTTGAAACTTTGTACTTGTATTTGTTAAATAAATTCAAAGATCGTTCGCGTCACGCTACCTCGCGCTCTCGATATCACAAAAACCACATGTACTAACAAGTGGATGTAGGTCCTGAGATATCTGTATCTTTTTTACCTTTGATTCTGATTATCATGAGTTACTTATTTATATTAAAAGAGGCTTTTCGCTAATTTTTCGTTGAGGTCATCGACAAAATGTGAGAGTTTTACTATATTCGAAAGCCTGTTCTAAATGTGATTGCTTGTTAGTCCAAGACAAACAGTTAATGTTGCTGTGTTAATTTTCAAGAAAGTTTATCTTTGATTTTTTTTTTAAAGATAAGAGGAAGAATGAGACAAGATATGATTAAAGTGTAGGAAGGCTTTTAAAAACCTTCTAAGAGAGTACCCAAATGAACCATTCTTTTGTTTCACAAATGTGCCGGGAAATACAGGATTTCGTTGAAAGCAAGCGGCTTTTTTGTGAAGTTTATCGTCGAAGAAAAAAAATGCGGCAGGTGATTTGTTAATAACCAATGCGGTATATATTTCAAGTTGTGTCAAACCAGAAGTTTACCAGTTCCACTGAAATATTCTTTCGAATTTTGCTAATCGTTTTTCCCTCGTTTTTCCTTTTGCTTTATTCCGCCTGAACTCCAACAAGTACGAAATTTTGTTATATATGACAAATCAGAATTTCAAAAGTGCAATAAAACGAATTTGAAGATATTGAACGCGATTAGTACATTACATAATTTTTATCTGGATAAAACTACGAAGAGGAATTGGGAATGTGGGTGGAGGGGGGGGGGGTTAAGGAGTGGTGGAGGGGGGGAGGGCGGGGATGGTGGCTTAATTTTACCATTATGGATTTAAACTTGAAAAGGAGCCCATAGCGAACTGTTGACGAGATCGAACTCTTAAAATGGGTGGCTCCGTCCGGGGGAAAGGGAACATCGACATAGAAAATTATGAAGAGGTTCCTGAGAAGCAGTTATCATTAAATATGATTTCTTCTCTTGTTAGTACGGGTGCCATGTAAAAACCCTTTTTACGTGGGTAAAGATTGATTATCCTAAGTCAAAGATTTGTAAAAATCAACATACTGAGTTCAAACATGCACCCATTACCTAATGGGCTCCGGGTTCAAACAGGTAACAGTACTAATTTAAAGATTCTATTGCAATATTTTTTGCATTCTTTTTATTTTGACTTTTCCAGGTTAACGTTGCTAAGACAGTCCTCTTGCTGATTGGCGTATACATCATCACGTGGATTCCGATCTGCGTTATTCACTTCCTGCGTGTGGCCCGTATCGGAAACATTCCAGACTCAGTTGACCTGTCAGCGGCTCTCCTCATGAGTTTAAGTTGCGTGACAAACCCTTGGATCTATGGCTTCAGGCACACTCAATTCCGTGACCAGGTCAGAAGGCTGTTATGTATGAAAACTCATATGAGAGATGTGGAAGCGCAATCAAGTCGCCAATAGAGTTTGCAGGCAAAGGTTTTACCGTAAATCACTCCTAATCCGATATACATTGTGTAGCGCCTTGATTCTGTCAAAGAGGTGTCCCTTATCAAACAATTTTTTTGGTTTAGGGAAGCATCAAGATCGATCGCAGCTTATTTCCTGAACTCGTCACATGATACCACATTTCTTAAGAGCACTAATTTATTGTGTGTCGTGGAAGGTTTTCATCTTTATTTATCAATTCGCAACCATCATGACGATCGTGAGTGACTAAGAGGAATCGACACACTACAAGTATGAAGCTGATGAAAGCTTAGAAAAGGCATCCATCTGTCGGGATACATATTTTCATTCGTAACCTTACAGAACTGTATTAGCCATACTCTTAGATATCACACTGAAAACCCTTGTCCTGAAAATAAACAGCCTCTTCTAATCGCAAGGGTCTTAAAACTAAGAGTTGAACGTGATTTCTAAATCGTTTCTCGACCACAAGCTGTTCAAACGAATATCAGTCAAGCGTTTTACGCACCCTAAAGAAGAACTTTGCTCCAGAAACTATAAAATTTCTATCTTCACCAATAAAAGGTACACGAGACAGTATGACACCTAGTCACGTTTTTTGATAACAAATATTGTTGAAATTGTTTTTTCCTTAGAAGCCGTTACTTTACGCATAAATTACAATTTAGAATTGAAAGTACTTTACCGCAAATTTTACCAAGAAGTAAAATTTAAAATAAACTATACTGTGTGATTTTTCTTATTGAAGTCTACAGTTTATCCTGCGTAAAGAAATCTTTAATACATTTCCCCTCCTTTAAGGAAAAGACTGGTGACAACCAGGATATTAAAAGACGCGAGGAAATCAGGGCTCAAGGCTTAATTTCCTTTCTCTGAAAGTTTTAATTGAAAGATTCATTAAAAATTTTCCAAAGAATACCTTGACACTTCCGTTGCCTAGACAACCGGGTCCCAAAGGGTATTAGTGTCATGGAACTAGCACAATATTTCTTTTATCCTTCGCAGTAATTTATTATTCAAACTTGACCCAATTTCCCTCATGTAGGGTGTTCTCTTGTTTTCTCTTTCGGCAACTAGTGAAAAGAGGGCAATTTTTTGTCTAATATCGTCTCTTTATCTGAAGGAATACCGAAAAACACTCAGGTAAGTTGCGCGAGAGTTTCTCAGGGCTTAAGATGTACCGCGACGTGTGTCTCAGTTGTTGCTGTAGTTCTTTTCGTTCTTCTGTCATTCCTTTTCTTTATCCACTGATTTTTATCACTGCACTTAAGTTGTGCAGTATGTCTTGTCTCTAAGTTTTTCAATTTTTTGCATTACATTAAAATATTGAAAATCGCTAATCACCGGCAACCTGCAACGTGGCACTGTGGATATGAGCTCCGCTCACGAATCGATCATGTGAGGAATAGCCCCGCACAGGAACAGCGAAGAAACAGCACCATAAACCTTTCCTTTTCCCCTCTTTTTCTCCTCTCATTTCTGTTCTATTTTTTTTTAAATCGAACTTACCCTTGTCTCTACCGTATATTTTAACTTTCCATTTCAAATCCACATATCACTGAATTTTTCTTCCCATCCTATTAATACTTAACTCATTAATAAAACGTTCTAAGGTTTAGAGATAAAAACGACTGCTGTTATCAATACCACTCAAGCCCTTTTGTTCCCTCAAATGGTGAGTGTACAGCATTTTTTTTTGCAATATTTATTCCTAGATAATGAAAACGGAAGAAAATTATGATTCGTTTTAAGCAGCCCTGTAAAATTAAAAATAAAAACAAGAATATTATTTATTTCAAAGGCTTTCTTCTCATTGGCCGACGCTAAAAATGTGTTACAAGTCGTGCCTACGTCAAAATCAATGATTGGTTGTTGTTTCCAATCCATATTCATGCAACTTGTCGTCAAAGTGTGAAGACATGTATGACGAGGTTCTGATGACGACGAGAATGAAGCGGGAAGAAGTTTGAAGAAACGTTCATGAGGAAATGGAAGTGTGTACTATTCTTCAGTAAGGGTAAATATTGTAATTTTGTTGGAAAATACGAGAGTGAAGTTACAGGATATTACCTTGGCGAGTTGCTACGTGCGCAAGTAGTCGGCCGCTCAAATTCGAGAACAAGAAACAGTGTATTCATGCAACCAGAGCATTTTAGCCATAACTGAAGCCGAAAGTACGGAAAATTCAAAACTAGAAAGGCTATTAGAGTCATCTCGAAACCTTCAACGCGTCTTAACTCTTGGACACGGCCACGTGCATGTAATCACTTTTTTTTCTCGTGTCTTGAGGGAGTTTAGCTCGGTAGAATTTGCAAGTGTGTGTCTTTGGGTTTTTCCAACTTTACGTGAGTTTAGTTAAATACTCGTTAGTAAAAATCCTTTACTTGAGTTGAGTTAAACACTCGTCTGTAAAAATCCTTTACTTGAGTTAAGTTAAACACTAGTCAGTAAAAATTCATCTCATTTCTCATCAGCATAATGTTTGTGTTTTAGATAATTGTCTTGGTGAAGAGGAAAAGAATGATGAAATATCTCTTCAAAAGGAGAACTGGATCCACTGGATGGACGAGAAGATTCGACAGAGATAAGCATTTAAAATTGTAATATATTTTTGGTAAAATGGTGACTGAACTATTGTCGATATCTATTTGAAAACTTCTCTGAATTGCATCCGATCAGATCTGTGAGTTGTCGGGATTGATGGAATAGATACAGTTTGTTTTGCAAATCAACATACACGCATGGTGATAACAAATAAAATTTATGCAAATATAATTTGGTCATTCTTAAGGAAGGGAAAAGACAAATTTTCATTTTGAATCCATGGCCCTAACTGCTCAGTCTTAATTTCATGCATTCAAATGAATTGATGTCAAATTAAAAAATTTGTTGAAGTTACTGGAACTTAATTTCTTGAATTCAAATGACTCAGTAGTTCAAGTCACCATGCTATTTCACTATTTCATTTGTTAGCTTTAACATGTCATCATCGACAATTTTAAAAAAAGTGTGTAGTTAGGTGGAACTGTAGGTCAATTAGGAAAAAAATTCGTTCTCCACGAATTAAAATTTTAGTTTATTGAGAGAGGCACCAATTGGTTACCATATTAAAATTTGAATGAAGAAATGTTTGTAGTAGCATAAGTAGTCACTTGTCTGTTTGTCGTCTTTGGAGAAGTAGACGAACAAGAGATTTTTCTCCGTTTGCGTTCATTTAATCAAAAGAGAAATAATTTATCACTTAGGACTGGTTTTTATATCAGTCGTCAGTTCGTACATTTGACAGTTCCACTTTAATTACAACGATTTGTATGACTATTAAGTTGATAGCCTATTATCGACAAGAGAACAATGGATTTTTCTTTTTTTTTGCATTTTTTGAGTCGAAGATAACCTTATCTTCTTAAAGAAAAGCTACTCGAAACTCGATGTATTAAACATATTAAGCGAAGGAAACACTCACCAAACAACTAAGACAGCTGAAACGAACTGAACTGACTTCTATCAGTTTGGTAACGATATCCGTTATTCCAGACAGGGGGAGCAAGACAGTTCAGTTCAGTTCTGGTATTCAGTGCACGTTGACTTACAACCACATTGTTTATCAGGACTCTTCTTCTCTAACAAATTAAAACGACTGACTTTTGTAAGTTTGATCGACCATTAGTGCTCGAGTCATGAGTCCTCCATGACTGCATGACCGACCAATCAGGGCGCATTATCAACCAGAAAATTAACATTCTACCGAATAACAATTCACTTGACTTCAAGAATGACCCTCGCCCAGGTTGTTTACCTAACGACATGTAAAGAGTGGATTAATTGCGAGACTTTTTGTATCGAGAAATTGTGATTTCAGTGATCGCATGAGTACAGTTTCGTAAGAAACACTGGTAAATTTAACTGATAACATCAACTGCTGACTCCAGAGAAACTGATTGACCAGAACAGAAAAAAATTCTTGTATCGAAGGATACCATTATGGAACACTGATGCCCAACAGTTGTACCTTACAAACGACTTGCTCACGACATGACATCGAGGATCTCAAGATAATACTGTCCACCTTGACTGACACGTCACTGACCAATCAGGCCCGTGACCAGTTGTTGGTTCCACTGACTAGGAAAGTTTCACTGAACTTAAAAATGAATCGGTCTGATTTTCGAAACGCAATTCAAAAGCAACATACAATATTGCTTTCTGCCATTGTTCTCTTGTCGGTTATAATTAATTACAAACCACAGTGTCTGGTTCCGAGAAGATTGAAATGCAACGATCTCGAGAAACTGCTGAAGATTATGCTCGTTAGCTTTCTTACCATAACGTCAACAGATCAATTGTGTTAATTAAACAACGGTTAAAAATAGAGCAATTTGATTGGAAGGAGTTAATTTTCGCTTGATTATCTAGCTGTTTAATTTTCACTTTATCGTCTTCACAAAATCAGAGCCAATAAGATGATAAGATAGAAGAACAGCATCTATGTAGATTTTTTTGTCTCGATTCTTGTTTCCGAAATCTCGTTTTTCGAGAAAGGAACAAACTCAGAATCTTTCTTTTCTTCGACCAGACGCTGTGTTTTATTGTAATTTGTAATAAACTGAAATAGGAGAAATAATAATTGGTGCTAGTATTTCTTGTAACACAGGACACAAAAGACGCATATTTTTCTAATGAAAACAAAGCTTTTTCAGCAAGCAGCAACAGAGAAAATTCACCGCCGGATATTTTTTCGTTTTAAAACTTTGCGACAGAAGGGGTAAAGCAATTTAATTCTTTTGGTCATTTCTGGTTTATTTCCTCGACCAAACTGATGTGGAGCAGAAAAGAAAATTCAGTTTTTTGACGAACTGCTTGAAAAATGCAAACATTCCTCGTCAAAAACTTTTCTTATCGACATCGAGCCGAGCGATTTAATCGTTATTTTCTCAAACAAAAAAACACATCTCTCAGCTTGCTCGAGTCTTCAACCAGACTGACAACAGTACGAA